AGACGTTTAATAATTTTTTTCTTATTGCACTTTTGTATTATATTTGTTTTAAATAATTCATTTGAGAGCAGAAAAGATTAAATGTTACGAGGATCTAATCGAAAAGCTTTCGAACTAAATTAGTTCGCAAATTGGCAAAATATTGATCCACGGCACTCGAGATCTCACTAACGATCGATCGGTATTGATTCGATCGCGTCTGTTGCGTGGATCAAGATCGTGTAAAGGTGTCCACACAGCGGGCAAGAGTTTGCTGTACCATTGTCCGTCAAGGATTAATTTTCTACGAATCCGTAGCATAATCGGATGCTGTTGTTCTTCGAAAGCGTTCGATACGATCTAGCACGTGCTTCGAACGCATATACCCGTTCAATGAACGTGCCTAACTGGCTATAAACATCGGTCCTTTCGGTGTCCAATATCAAAGTCTACTATTGCAAGAGCTCTGACGTTCGACGTCTCTGCATTCCGTCGATGTTTGTCCGTAGGAACGAATTATATTGTCGGCGCCCGGTATTGGTCATTTTGATTTCGGTCCCCGACTGACTCCGATGTATTTACATAGATTGTCACGTGTCCCGGATCGGTCCACGAGCCCAATAAAGCTTTACGTCATACACTAGCACGCGGTAAACAAGTATTCGCGAAACGAACCTGGCCATCCGCCAAAGATATACATTTGTTCCCGCGATATCTGTCCGCCCGTATCTCCGTCACTTCGCTATACATATACCTATATCAAGATCGTACATATTAAACGATAGCATTCTCGCCACGACTTCTGGTAGTGTTCGACGTAGACGGAAGTGAATTTTACATTTTTATCTTGGGCCAACTCCTTACCCACGCTGCTCGATACATTGCAAACGTTACAACATTGTTATCTCGTCGACGATATTTAATACGTTTACCTCTCACGGATTAGATATTGCATCTATGTTGATATATCGGGACGGAAAGTTATTTATCTTATCGGCCTTACCTATCGTTTCATCCATTATATTCGGAAGATAAAATTATTCCAATACGCGTTAACGAAGATCAATAATGAATTAACTAGTCGATCGAACGATTTCGTTAGGCATTTGATACTTTAAAAGCTCCAATGCGACGTACGAGTTAGACGTTGAGTAAATGTAATACGTACCACGATAAATGCACGGTGTCTATTGAATGAGATACTGCGCGAAAGTTTCGTATTTGGTTCATCCTTCTGTCTAGTAACGCGATCCGTTAATTGCTCTCAGTCTATGAATACATCGCTGGTTAGTGGGAATGATTTATCGATACGCAGTGGACTGTTCGAACGAGTTTATTCGAGCCCCGAATCGAATTATGATTATGTTTTAAGCGTTCCACGATCCTTTTACGACTATGTTCTTTGAGCACAGTTTACGAATCAAATAGTTCTCGTCCGCTTCCTTGGGCACGAGTTGATTCTGTGCACGGCTTTTAATTTAAAGAGGCGTGCAAACGTTTTTATCGCGTAATGGAACCGGCGTAAAGAGCGTTTCATGTACTTCACGCAAGAATATTTCTTTTATATCTGATTAGATCCCGCTGGTTAAAGGGAACCTGCCTTGCATCCGCGCGAAACAAGCAATTTTATTATCGAGCAAACTGTACCTGTTGCGACATTACCAATAACATTCTATAAACGTCTGACTTGCGTGAAATTGTAAATGTATTCATTCATACGATTTGTTTGTTTACGCGGGGAATCGACACGTTTTAAACAGATCTTAACACGTACCTCTCGTTACACCGTGCCCTTAAATTTTGCATCGAAATTCATTTCTGATGATCCTCGAATTCCTAAAGATACGTAAATATAAAACGTGGAATTTTATATCAAACAACGAACCAAACAAGGTGTTCGCGTTCTGGCATTTCAAAATTTGAATTGTTTAATTTTAATAATTCGAACGAGTCGGTAATTTCAGCTGGAATTAGACTGCTTTGAAATGCTATCGGTGATCAGGCAAACATTATCAAAGTTCATTAATTTAACCTCGGATACGATAAACTTGGTTTTTTCTTGATTATACATTTATTAACGTCCACATTATACATACAGCTTTTGTAGAAACAATGCGAGAAGATTCGATCATACGGTAATTTTCGATTCATTATCATATTTTGATTCGATTCGATTCGTTTTATCGCAATTGTATATTTGTAACCGAGCGATAAATACATCAACGCGATACATTTGATCGTGGCAAAATTGATTGCAATTAACTCTAGTGTTTTTATTGTTTGTTAAACCGTTTTGATGATTTACTTGTTATCCGTGTACAATAAAAGACCGTAGTACGAATGTATAATGTACGTGGTAAAACTTACTATACAGACTAACGTTTCCACGGTTACGAAATAGAGGGCGTACTTACCGCAATGCGCCAGTGACGTGTTCGCGTATGCAACAAGGCGTTATTCGCATCTTGAAAAATACAAGAACTAATTTTCATTTACTTTCTAATGGAATCTCCTCGTTTCGCTATTAATCGATCAGCATTACCAAATACCAGAGACTCGTAGCTCGTAAATACGAGTATTTCTTCTCAATAAAGTGTACGCAATTTATCCGAATGAAATTTGTATTTGCCATATGCTTGTTCCACCACCGAATTCATCGTACGTAAAGTCAAAGTTCAAAGTAAATACCCGCTGCTTGCCATAATTAGGGGATGACCTATATAAACGATTTTACGTTTTAGTAGGATCTAAAATTCATGAAATTTGCATTCGTCGTACGATATTTCACAAAGGCTTGAACTGGAAAGTATACACTCGTCGAATCAAGCTTTATGGTACTTTAGAGAAACAAAAAATTAATCTTCTATCAAGGGTTTCAAATTTCAAATCAAATTCATCGGATAAAGAGTCGAAATTGAAGGTGAATACAAGGTAAATGTGAATTTTTTCATTAGTTGCATTAGTGCCAAACTATTTACACTGTTTTTGACATTTATTATTTTATTTTATAATCCAAGTTCCATGTACATTAAAACACGCTGCAAGTTTGAATAGGTTAAATAAATGTCATTCGACGAGAATAGAAATTATACAAGAATCAGTTGGTTTATTTTGGAACACTTGACCAGCGTGAGTTTCGATATGCCTTATATTAGTTGCATTAAATTTGTTGTTTTCCAACGCTCTAAGCAAGTCGGTGAGTAAACATTGAATGTACAGCACGAGTTGCGTAGAAGTGTGATCTTTTAATTGTTTTAAGCAGTGTACCGTGAAAATCGATGTGCACGCTCCCTCCCTCCCCCTCTCTGTACTTATTGTCTCGTTATTCGTTTGCTTTTTCGCCTTAATCCTTCAGCCGTTTTAATTATTTTTAAAACAGAGCGTGGCTTTAGGTGCAGATTACACGCTCTTAAAAATAATTAAACACAATGTTGTCGGTTTGCGAAACGACGTTGCTCCAAAATATTCAAAAGAGTTTGTATTAGAATTTAGAATAATTCTACCAAGAATTCTTTTCCAAAATTTGCATAATTTTAATAAAAGGATGAGTGTCTAATAAAAGTCTGTAAACAATTTTTGTAACGATGTTGCATTTGTAATTCAAATGACTGTATAGTTCGCGTGTTCTTACGTTTCACGTGACTTGTTAATGTAAATGCATTTGAAATCTGTTCTTAAAAAAAATCAAGAAATATATCTTTGTACAGTGGTTGTATTAATGTTCGTTGAAAAGATGGTGTTATTTTTCTTCAGACACTGCGCGTGAAACATAAGTTTCTTGGAGGATCATAGCATCAAGTGCTGTTGGTCAATAAGAGGGACGTGTTCTTATATAGGACAGCAATTTAAATTTTATGCGGACATGCCATTGTCGTCATATTTCTCGAGCTTCCTTTTATGTTTCTCGGTACAAATGTTGTGCCAAGCATTCTCACGAACAGAAGCTACATCGCTTAATTAAATATTTTTAGTACTTTTCTTCGGTATTGTGCTTTAGAAAAACCACTGCTCATTGTATGGAAAGACGCAGACGTTCCATCACGACTTTCATTATAATTGTTCCTTGACATTTCTCCATATTTCGAATACCTTTTCACGGAACATTACCAATTTCTTTTCAAGCTGATCGTTATGGAAATTTCTTTCTGTATTTTTGTAGATTTTCGTGCGTAGCTATCGGTATACGTAATTATAAATATTTATTTTCTACGACACGTGTACAAGGACGTCCGACGCGCCAACTTACGAGCATATTATTGGAGTTTTAATTAATCGATTGAAAAGTTATTTTTATCTTTTTTTCGGTGTCCTAGTTATCACCCTGATTATAAGTTACTTCGAGCAGGTGCTGTTCCAAGTTCTTCAACAAGAACCTTAACGTTTCGTTTAAAAGATCACAAAAGAGTGTCTGGAACGATCATTTTAAAGCGGTATGAAAATGCCCAAAGAACGACGAAATAATCGTGCAATGAATAGTCAAGTAGTCACCGTATACCCATCGTTAACTGTCCTGAAGAAGGCCTTTCATGCACAAGAAAAGGCGTCTCTTTGAAGAAGCTTGATACTGTAACCTTGAGTCACGAAGACAATCCTTAATGACGTATCTAACTTCCTTCCTATATTTCGCCTATCATAGTTATTTGCTCGTTTGTCTATCAGAATATTCAGCCTTTTTTCGAACAGGATTCAACAACATGAAATTTTCTCGTAAACGAGAATTCTTTTTATCGCAATACCATTTAACCGGTTGCAAAGATAATCGCAGGAAGTATTAGATTGTTGCGCTTCCAGTGGACGATTTCAACCTCGTAGAGTGATTTACTCTTTGAAGTTTTATGCAACAACGTTACAGAAGAAACCGAAAGTTTACACGTTTAAAAAACGTAGTCAATTTGGTTATCAATCGTCTCTTTTGAGCGGCGAAACATAAATTTCTATGATTTGATCGTTAAATTTAGCTAAGATAAATACGTACGTTGTTTGGTGAATGTATATAATATTAAAGAAACTTTGATTTTCAGATTCCTCGATGGAGAGTGCCGGTGGTGACAAGCAGAACGAGTCGGACGAGTGTGACGTGATCGGTAACAATCAGCATCAGAAGAAGATGACGGGCCAGGAAGATAGCAACGTGAAACTGAGCAAGGATCTAGGGAAACAAGAGACTCTGAAGAATCTGAAGAATTTGGGGAACATCGGTCAGAATGACGACGACACATTGAATAAATTGTCGAAGGCCGTGTCCCAAGACGACGAGGACGAGGAGGAGCACGAAGAGGATGAGTGCAAAGGTTCTGACGAAGAGCTCAAGGAGGAGAAGACCGATGGTAAGAAGGACGAGGAATCCTCTAGCAGTACAACGTCTACGAGCACTTCCGATGACGAATTTGAAATCAGTTCGGAAGATAAGACGGAAGCCTCGAAGACCGAGCAGATTAATAAGATCGAACCCGAAACTAAGAAAGAGGATCAGAGTAAGAACGACGACACCACCGATGACAGCGACATCGAGGACGACTTGATCTCCGCCATCAATTACAACACTATTACCTCATTGGCTGCCCTTAAGGACATGCTACAGTCCTCCGGAGAGGACTCTGACGGTGTTGATAGTTTCTTCCATCATTACTTCCTCTCTCACGTGAACAGGCTACCGTCGAGGAACCAAACTCATAGCCCCTACCCTTGGGGAAGGAGATTATCAGAATGCAGGGAAGAGGATGAATATGAAACCGAGGAAGGTAAGGAGATATACAGGGTGTTCGAACACCCCTGGGACAAAAAATTTCAAATCATTCTGGAAAAATTATTTTTGGTTACGGGGAACAATTACAATAATTTTTGGTGAATAGACATACCCCCGAATTCCTACGCATTTTCGAGAAAAAAATTCGAGTAGGGGCTGAAATTTTTCGGCAAAATTAAAAAATTCCAAATCGTTCTAAAAAAATTATAATCGGTTGCGGGGGTCAAATACAATCATTTTTTGTGGATACACATACCCCCGAAATCCTACCCATTTCCGAGAAAAAATTCGAGCAGGTGCTGACATTTTTCGGCAAAATTAAGAAATTTCAAATCGTTCTAAAAAAATTATTTTCAGTTGCGGGGGTCAATTGCAATCATTTTTTGTGGATACACATATCCTCGAATTCCTACGCATTTTCGAGAAAAAAATTCGAGTAGGTGTGAAATTTTTCGGCGAAATTAAAAAATTTCAAAACGTTTAAAAAAAATTATTTTCAGTTGCGGGGGTCAATTGCAATCACTTTTGGTCAATACACATACCCCCGAAATCCTACTCACTTTCGAGAAAAAAATTCGAGTAGGTGCTGTTTTTTGACAAAATTAAAAAATTCCAAATCGTTCTAAAAAAATTATAATCGGTTCCAGGGATCAATTACAACCATTTTTGGTGGATACACATACCCCCGAATTCCTACGCACTTTCCAGAAAAAAATTCTTTACCGAAAATATACTGTGTGGCCAGAAATGTTTCTACAACCTTTCGACGAAGCCTCAATCAACGTATCGTAAATCTATTTCAACAGCCGGGTAATTTATATTCGATAATTTTCAATAAATACTTTTTTAAGTACCGTGCCTCGACGATTAAAACTTGTTTAATACCGTACGTACTGAATCATGCTGGATCTGTTAGGTTTTTTTATTACGTAAAAGTGATCGATACTACCGTGTAATAGTATCCGGTTTCTGCGGCAGTCAGAAAAATATGCAAATTTTATGTTGTCGTTGAAATATTACACATTTTATTTTTCTTAAAAAATGACGGTCGGTAAATATTAAAAATGCAGTATTACTCGGCGATCAATCTTCTCGGAAAGTTCATGAATGAGATTAAAATTATTTGGTGAATTAAATTTTCCATAGAATTTCAAAACGGATTACACAATTAAAGTTTTAGCGAGTCACAAATTCTGAGGGATGGCGAACAATTAATGTATCAATATAATTAGATATTTTGTCGTCTGTGAGATATATCACTTAATGAATATTTCTGTTGGTATTATTAGATCGCAAATAACGTTTATACGCCGTGCTTGGAACGTCACTGCAATTCATAAATAGTCTTGTTTTTATAAATCATTCGAGTATTTTATTTTCGCTATCTGCATTTAATAAGCACCCTTTTAATCAAAATTTTATCTTTATCGTTATCAATTTATACGAAATGTATTCCACATTGCGTTGTAATTTTTTTTAAATTCAGATTGATCAATTATACAGTAATAGAAGTCGAACATTGAATTAATATTACTAGACGCTTGTATCTTGCTACACAAATCATTGCCTGGTCGTATTCGCAAGAAATTATAGTCCACGAACGTAATAAATGGCTTTGATAGATATACACAGTATCGTTCTGCTACATGACTCGAAAATTTCAAAAAAACATGTCTACGTTCGTTAAACTTATCACCCACGAATTATTCATTCAAGCATATGGATTATTTTTCTGGCAAGCAGTATATCTTGGGTAATAAAATTGACGCGGAACGGTTGCTCGCGCGTTTTATTGACTCCCGAAGAAAGCTATTACGTTTATCGCGGCGAGGAAACTGCAACGAAAATCCTCGTTCCAATTAACGTGATATTTATTTTGAATTAAAATTTAGAAATTGGACAGAGTACGTTTGAACACGTTGATCGTTGGATTTTTCGAGTCAGGTTGATTCGAGTCGAACGTCGTTCGTGTGCCACGTATGTCTATAGCAGATTGCAAGAAAAGTAGCATATTACGAAACATGATTCGGGCATTAAAACGCGCGTGAAGCTATTAGAAGGAGCTCGCACTCGTTCAATGAGAGCTAAGATTAGCGCGCGGCCGGTGGTTTAGCTTCGTTTAGTTCCGTTTGGCAACGTTTCTACCAACAGCGCGAAAAGTCACTCTACTTAGGTAACGACAGATTATATTTATAGATTATCACCGAAATTGGAAATACAATAATTGGATCCCCGCGAGAATTATAATTTCTCCAAGTTCTGTAAGCTTTTGCAATCTCTCCAAGATTCGAAATCTTTTAATTAGTTCCCAGTCTCTTGCCCGATCGACAAACTTGCTAAAACTCGTGCACGCTGCTATCTTCTGCTCGTGTTCCAAGCGAATTGTTTAAATAAAAAATTGGCTTGTGATATTTATTTGTAGAATGTCGAAATTACGATTCCACGTTTATAAGAGATCCAGTAGTTCTTGGTATCTAGTTTCTTTACTCAAATCGTCATTCTTGACATAGAGTTTTCCAATAAGAGTGATCAAACTTTAAATTCGATCGATCGAATCGATTGTTACTGTCGCTATGTTTGTTATTTGCTTGTTCGAGTCACGTGACATTTGTATTTAGCAGCGCTTTACGAGTCATCGTGGAAAGATACACGGTTGCTCATCGAATATATTATAATTCATTACCAAATTCTTATTCGAACAACGTTTCGTGGACTTTGGTTTATAGTCAACAGAACTCATAATTCGTCGTTTAGTGGAAAAATTCGAAACCATTGGTTTACTTGTTGATCAACATATCCCAATGAGCGAAAAGAACATTCCTATTGTAAGGGAAAGTGTTCCTCAGAATTCAAATTTGTCGTTTCCGTGACGATTCTAAAGATTTTCATCCTTCCAAGATCCAGTTAAAAATCTTCCAATTTGTTGCCATTAGTCCTTTTCTCGTGTATTCCAACAAACCACGACGATTACAAAGCAAACATTATTCGCGATAGTGGTGAGATACATCCTGATTTATGTGCCGGAGTCATCGAAAATTGGGTTAATCGTATTCACTGCACCAAACGCAATTGTGGTCATTTAAACGATATTCCGTTTCATGCATAACGTCCTCGAACGTACATAAAAATAAAACAACGAGCATCGAATTTTGCAGTTCGGTTTAAAGTTCAGAATCAGAATATTTAACGAGTGTCCTCCGGAATCGCGTGGTTTGGTCGTCGTGGTTGCACGTTCGTTTTCATACATCCGAGGCTCGTGCGTCGATGAAAGTATAAAGACGATACGGTTATCACACAGCGTGGTACAACCCAAGCATACGAACGTATGTCGAATCACACAGCGGTGCGCGGAACCACGTAACAGGCGAGCCTTTGTAATTGCAGACCTTGGGAGAGCCGAGTGTCACAAGTGCAACCGAACTGAATAATGGGCTCTTTGTCATAATTGCACACCGAGATCGTCGACCACGCTCTTACTTATTCACGCTTCGTATTCCAGGGAAAAACGTGGACGTCCCGATCCCCGAGAGGATCATCGTAACCAAGAAGAGCGTCGCGAAGATCGAGGAACCGGAAGAAAAGAACGAGAGCGTCTCCTCGAAAGCGTCCAGCCCATCCACTTCCGAGAAATCCAGCTCGGAGAAGATCGATCAGAAGTTTAATGCCACCTCGAGCGTGCCCGAATCGAAAACCACGGTTGCGTCCTCGATGACGATCACGACAACGCCGACGACCGCCAGCGTCACGCCGACAACATCGTCGTCGAGATTCACGACGTGCACGGTGACTTCGCCAACGTCCACCACGAAGCCACCGCTGAGGAGGAGGCACACCACCGGGCCCGGGATGACGTTTCCAGCGACCGATCCGCCGACGTACTCCACCAGCATGACCTTCTCGAGGACCAGCCCGCTTCCCAGTCCCCATCTTGATAAAAGGTTCTTCGACAGCAGCCTGATAGAAATGAAAAGCCAGGCGAGCAGTTCCAGCACTCTCGATTACGACTCCACCGAGGAAGTCTGGATTCGAAGGGTGGATTTTGTTCAGGAAAGAAAGAGAAAGGTAAGTGAAATTCATTCTGCACTCTTCCTTTTCTCTTGTGGAATTTTAATCACAAATTTTCAAATTCCGTTTCTTTGCAAACAAATATACAAGTCGAATACTGTGAAGCAAATGTTCTTTGTACGAAGCATTTTTATTTGAAAACTGACTGATGTTATAAAAACGTATTTTTTTAATCGTATTGGTTGAAAGAGCAGGAAGTAATAGCAAAATTGATTTGCATTTGTATGGCATAATTTGATGACGTGAAAATTCAATTAAATTCTCATCAAGCAAACAAATTTTAAGTATAAAATATAAATTGTCAAAGTAGTAAACTGGACAGGCTCGTATCGTCGTGTCTCACAGACACATTAAATGGTTGAAAGTCTAATCATTCTCAAAATGTTGCTATCGTAAACGTACGAATAGACATTGCGAAGTCATCCTTGATAATATTCTGTTATACGGTACCATGATATAACAATTGGATAGAAACCAAGAATTAAGTAACATAGTACGATTGTTTGAAAACAAATTATGCTATCGTCAATACTTAAAATAATAAGAGATGCGTTAGCAAATGCATGGTACGTAGGCGTGTATGTATGTATATTGAAACTGCAATTTTGTATTATTGACTCACTCTTTTCACGAAGAATCTCCTTTTTAGTCATACCATGAATTATACTTCATTCAATATATGTTGAATATTGAGTACAACAGTATTTATAATGTTAGTGCTAAACGTAATAGTTAACGAGTAATTTTCATACTTATTACTCAAGAATAGTATTGGTACTTGGTACTCTTATTCGCTATAGCTAGAAGACTTAATAATTTATAAAGTTTCATTATCATGGATAGCTCGAGTCACTGTATCGCTGGAATAGTACAATTCATGGAACAATTCTTCCATATGCTTAAGAGGAACGGCCCGAACCGTCTAATTGCAGTAATCGACTAATTGCTACGAGGAGGAACGGTCTTGCAAATTTGTTTACCGTGGACGCGGTATGAACTGTTGCGAAAGTCAGTGGTGCAAGAGTATCCTGCTCACGCGTGATAGAACAAAATTGAGGATTGAGTTTCAGATTGCGACACGGCTATTTGCATGTTTCTCTAACAATGCGACAAAACGTTCCCAACAACTAAAACTAATCTCTTGATAGGCTTCGTTAGTTGATGTCTTTTGAACGAATTCACCCGTGCTTGAACAGGAAATGGCCGACACTGATATTACATTTTGTTTCCGGCGGAAATACACATTTGTTCGTATAAAAAATAATTTCAACGAAAACAAAGTCGTGTGGCTGGTTCCAATAATAATAAACGCAACAAAAATGTATTGCATATTCGCTTGCGAACGAGCGACCATTTAAAGCGTCGTTCACAACGAGCAAGGTGTGGTCGTTGGGTATATGATCACTTGTGGAGTTATGGTCGTCACGAACGGCCAATCACGCGAGTGTACGATCATCGATTGGCAACTCCGCCTCGCGCGTGATCTCATCAAGGTGATTTTTTTTGTTTAATATCATAAATGTACTTTCAGCAATCTTCGACGCTCGTGATTAATTTATCGCCTTTTCTCGTGTAGTTCAGAAAATTGGTATCACGGAAATTCTATTTCAAGTCAAAAAATTAAGCACGAAAATATCGTTACTACAAACTTGCAATAAATATTACAAGAATTTTCAGTATCGGTTTAAAGTTGATAATTTTCTCCGATCGAAGAGAGAAATTTTGCATATACACGATCTGGAATTTTATATTAATTAAATATCCGAATTAATTTCACTATGCAATTATCAATTTTAATTTCGCTTCAGCTTCGACATTGTTCAGAATATTTTATCTCGATTTTAACTTTTCTGCGAGAGTACGCGCAATCCGGTGGCAATGAAAATATAATCAATATGGCTGAACGTGTTTCGGAGATTTTATAATTAATTTATTTATTTTTATACATTATTCGTTCGATCGGAGAATATTACATTTGGGCAAATCAGTTAACGAAACTTACGTGTTATTTTTTTTTATTTAATTTACAGTTACCGATTCGCGAACAGTTCAACTTTTCTTGTTAACGTTGGTTCGTATATCCGACAACGATGATATATGGAGCTTTCCAAATTATGATTTACACTCGTGAAATTGCGCTCGCGAATCGTGTGCGACTGCTTCCGTAAACAACCAGGCTAACGGCCGATGCTCGGTATAACCATGGTGTTGCACGGTTATAAAAAGAAAGGTTCGACGAACCGGCCGCGTGGAACTTTGAGGGCCTTACCTTCTTTCTCAGGAAAGGGTAGATTACCTTGGTCACGAAGCGCCCAGAGTTACGAATACGGACCTTGCTAACGAAGTCCTTTTTCATCGTTAAAACAATCGAGGTCGATTTTACAGCGTGCTTCGGCGCAGCTAATTCCGCTTTTACAACGAAGAAATTTAATTCGTAGCACGAATGCTTCGATCCTCTAAAAATTGAGGCGAACATAATGGACGAATATATAGTTATTCTGACCCATAATACACTTTGAATCGAATAAAACAAAGAAAGATAATTCCGAAGAATGAATCAAAAATTAACAATAATAGAAATCCTGTTTGGTTCAGTATGATAATAGCTTGACAATTAGTGGTATGTACTATAGCAAATCTTAGAAGAATTTTTTTATACGAAAAAAAAGAAACATAAGATGAGTGACATTAATTGACTCTGAATTTAATATTGTTGTGTTTTATTTTTTATATAAACTAATATAAAATAATAGTTCGATAATACTAATTTAAGCATTGAAACATTCAGTCAGTGAAAACACTATAGCTAATCTTATTCATTGTTTCGCGTAGCGTATATTTATTGTAGAAAGTCGGTAAAGTTAGAAACTGAAATGACCAAAGTTTCACCCAAGGTAAGACGATAAAACTCTATAGATTAAAACAGTTAATCAGTTTGTGCACGTTACCATAATCAGCCGTCAAGGCCGTGTGCTATAAATTTGAATACAATCATCCGTATGAAATCATATAATGATATTAAATGATACAAAAGATGTTCAAGATGTATGGTCCTAAATTCACGATATCGTTTGGCCCAGATCTCGATGTGGCTTTAATGATTCATGTAGAAGGATGGGGAAAGGGGAACGTAGGTACAAGGCTTCCTTTAAGCTCTATCGATTCGGTTGAAAGACGAATTACAATGCGTTGAGGACTGTTATGACGGATATCTCGTCACGTAAGGCCTCCTTTGCCGATGCTTTTGTACGTGAATTGCTCACGTAAGTAGCAATGCGTAGAGATAAAGTTAGTAAATAAATCATATCTAATTTTGGATTCAAAATATGCTAATGGGTATAACATATAAACTGCTAATTTACATCGGATTATACTGGATAAATACTGCGTACAAATTTATAGTATACGCGGAACTTGTACGAATTTTAATTAATTACGATCGAGGCTATTAACATATTGGAAAAAATATTACAATAAGCGATAGTAATTAAGTACGTATTTTATATGATAAAAGTATTTCTTTCGTATCTTTCTAAAGGTAAACGATAGAGTTAAACGAAGTAAACGCGCTTTATTTGTTGTTTGCGATATTTTACTCTTTGTTGCGTAACACAGCCGTCTGACGACTCATAAGCCCGTTTTAGAGTACAAAGAATTTTACACGTGCTTCGTTTCGCTACAGGCATCCGGACTGTGTAATTGCATCCCGGTGTGCAGTTAATCTATTTCAGTCTTGACATTTTCATGTATCTTTTGTTCGTTCAAATCTCTCGGGCTCACGTTCGATGATAATTTGACTTGTTTGATGACTCTAATCGTTTTCATTGCGATTAAGAAAATCACGGAGCACGTCTTTATCGTTGAACGTTCACTACTCGGCAATACGGTTCTAGATATTTTTCGTGGCGATCGGTAGATGGCGCCGCGATACGCTGAGATACCAGCTGCCATCTTTGCGAAATTATTCGCAAGACGAATTGAAGTTAAATATTCGAGGCGCGTGTCACAACAGCAATTTGTTAATACCACAAATGAAATAATTTACTCCTTTGTTCTGTCTCTTCGTTGCACTTAAGTAGTTACATATCAGATTAAGCTTGTCTGCCACGTATGGTCAAAAAATACGAAAATAACAATGAATCGAAAAGAAGAATGTTACGTGCACGGACAGATTCGGAATATTATACGAAAGATTCTTTCGTCGAATGATCGAGGTAGTATAAAATGTAGAGGCGGGTCTGCTCATTATTAACATAAAAAGTGTGCGATAGTTTTGTCTAATTAGATACATATTTTGATAGTGTCTAACGGAATATATGCAAATGAAAGAAAGAAAAAACAAGATGGACGATGCGGTTTATATTTCCGCGGGAAGTACTCTGATCGTTAGAATTTCGATCGCGAAGCTTCCAGGTAAGAGGATATTTTGAAATCTCGGTCGAACGTTTCTCGCGCCCGCGAAAGAGTAGCAGCGAAACTATACCAGACATTTATCGTGCTAATCACAATTCATCCGAGATAAGAGAATATTACAACAATCCTCCAGGGAAAATCATTATCGATACGGTTTCTCGGCAGAATGAAAAGATATCGGGCGATAGTGTATCCCGGTACCTTCTACCACCCACGAGTGCCAGCATTGTCAGTCACCGTTGAAATCTCGATGAACACCCGGTCCTCGCGGCATGAACATTTGAAAACCTCGGGTGGTGCACTGTTTTCTGTATAACTCGTGAAACCATGTCGACGGCGTCGCTGGGCAGAATTCGGAAGTACTCTCTTGTACCATATTTGGATGTTTGTCCAGATCGTGGAACGTACAAGGTATTCAAAACGTCCCTCTAATCATGATTTTTCAAATAAAAACGCCAAATACCATTTCCTATACACGGTATCGATGGCCCGTTTCGTACGGTCAATTTACGCATTATCGCGAACTCGATTTGGATTTGAGGTTATGTCCACCCTGCTATGTCTTCCCATAAGTAACCCAACGT